AGCGAAAAGACGATGACCCTTACATAATCGATTTTTCTCAGTCTTTATGTTATTGTAAACATTGCCCACTGGCAGTTTTCACGGACCCTAACTCTCACACAAAAATAATTAAGGCCCAAGCTAATCAAACAGCGATGTTAGTAAAATCCAACTAGTGCTCTATTATCAATTCTACGTTCTGATTGGTTGAGCTACCACCAGGTTTTAATTATGTTATAGCCCACTAGTAGCTAAAGTTGTTTTGTCTCGATATTTTTGACCAACTACTTGGACTTTACTAAAACAAATTCGCCCCCATGGCCTCTGAGTCAATGGCCCATTCGGCCATCGGCCTAATGGGCTGTTGACTCAGAACCCATTCGGGCTCGAGGAATAATTGTTAAGTAAACACAGAAAAAAATATACGCCAAAGAGAGGATCAAGTTATATACCGCCAAATAGAAGAAGATTTCAGTGATGAGTCCTTTTTCTTGCGCATGATGCAATTGTATATAAATATAAAAACCACTTATTCTTAATAATAAAAACAAAGCCTATGGCGGAATTTCATTAAGCAATGATCCAGTTTTAAATAATAGCGATATAGATGTTGCTTGCTGAACCTTTAATGTAGGAAGAAAAAATAAACCAAACAAACAGAAATCTAGAAACCAAACACACTCACACACTAAAAACATGCACCTTAAATGCCTAACCCTAAACCCCACCTGAGCAACTTCGACCTGAGAAATGTTTTAATTTAACAGGCGCATTCCCCGCTGTTAAACTTAAAGAATATTCATCACATGTATTGCGCACCTATTTTAAAGTTTAATTAAAAGATCAAAATGTACATGGTTGGCCATGGTGTCGGCTACTGTTAGGGGCTCGCGCGGATATGAATTTCCTTTATAATGAGTATTAAAACTTTAAAGCAGAATAATCAAGATGTTCATTTATTTAATCCAATGGACAATTCACTTTACACATTCTCATTCAAACGTCAAATGACTTTAAGAACAGAAAAATGATTAATAAGGATATCATGCCAAACATGAGAATAGTGCCTTTAGTTATCGATATCGTTATTTAACCTACCACGATTCCAAAACCGGCCGATGACACATTTTTACACGATAAAGTTTCCATCTCAAACAAACAATTGTTCACAAATACTAGTGGCAGGAATGTGCCTTATTTTCAAATTTAAAAAAAATTGAAAATAAACAAGAGATTGCTTAATTCCCTTACCTCCAGCCGGGAAGAAACATTTTTGAGAAATTCTGAAGGTATATTTCCGATGAACAACACCTGTTGTCAGTACACTGAATACAGAACTCGCTTGAAAGGGTGTAATATACTTGTAGTGTAAAACAAATAACTGATTACAACGTGAAAATCAAACGTGCAGCTAATTATAACCTGATAAGAATTATCGAAAAGATAACTATTGTAATTAGGGAAAGTTCATTTAATATGACAAGGGGGGGGATGAAGATATTGAGGGGGGGCTCCGAAAATTTTTAGACACCCGAAGGGGGGGCTCTGAAAAAATTGTTGCGCTAGGAGGGGGGGCTCCGAAAATTTGTACACTTCAAAACCAACAAATGACATCATCATACAGATCGGACGGTTTTCAACTCAACGATTTAATGACCTGTGCATCTCAGCTATATCACGTGGTTTACAGATATAACAAATGTAGTCTCAGTAATTATTACACTCTTGTTCATCCCAAAAATGCTTTAGAAAATTGTATCACAACTGTATCTCAAGTTTGTCATAGTATAAACCATTGAAGACAATAACGGTAAATATATTTAATACAGTCTAGCGATCTTTTTTCAGGGGAGCAAAGGAATTGAAGGAGGAGGGGGGGCTCTGAAATTTTTTGGACTACCAAGGAGGGAGCTCCTAAAAAATTGAACCGCTAGCGAGGGGGGCTGCTAAAATTTCAAGCTTCGAGTTTCAATATCTTCATCCCCCCCCCCCTTGTCATATTAAATGAACTTTCCCTTACCAAGTGACGACAATAAAAAAACGAAACAAAAAGTTGTTGGTGAAGGATTGAAATGAATACATTCAACGCCTCTTCCTTGTGAAGAGAAGGTTTTCCCAATAAATTTAAAGCCTACTTGATCTTAAGCTACAATGAGGCCTCCAAGATAGCCTGCGTAGCAGGCACTTGGAAGTAGTGGGCGAAAGAGAGAACGGGCACGCACGAGGGAGACACGCGCGCCCGTTTTTTACTTGTGCCCACTACTTCCAAGCGCCTGCTACGCAGGCCACCCTCCAAGATTGAAAAAACAGTCATTGGAACAGAAAGCCCGGCCACTACTTGGACTTACATATAAAATGCTACATAAATGAGGAATTCTTGGTCCGTCAAGAGGTGTTGCCGGATTCCTGTAGCAATGTACTGGCTAGTTTTTCCCCCAAAGTGTTTACTAAGCCCAACTTATATGAAAACGCTACAATACTGTTGTGAGGGACCAGAATAAGTACTTTCCGGAAAACTGATTGGTGAGCTCTAATAATGTAGTTATGGAAACCGAGCCAGGTATTGTTGTTTGTAAAAACGCTATCAACCAAAGAGTTTACTAATAATTAAAAATATATAGCGCGCAAATTTCTATTTAGTCATAAAATGCCCCCCGCGACTAGTAGGAAAGCGGTGCAAAACTGTAAAAATTTGTGAGGGGGCCAGCATGAGTACTATTACTCAAAAGTACATCTAAGAAACGCTGGTTCATATTATCCTCCCACTCCAAGGTGATATCGAGTAATATAATAAAAAAAACTGCCATTGATAGCACCCTTATCAAATGAACAAAACGTAACATATCTGTCGTTAAAGTGAATGCTGGAACCCTAATACAGTTCAAGCCAAATGTTTTCACTTGTGTCCCATGAATTACGGATTCCCAAGCACCAGTACACGATCACATATTTTTATAGCACCCACTAACGGGTTCATCGGGAGAAATGGCTATCGTTCTCGGGACATTTACTTACAGTCAGTGAAATTTTTAAGGTCTGTCATATCGCCCATTGTTATTCTAAAATGTTAAGGAAGAGGCAATTTCATTGGTCACCATGAACGCAGGGCTTTGCACATCATCAGGAAGTAGACGGGTTAAACTAACAATAACCGAATCGCCCTTTTGTTTTCCCTGTACGTACTGACTATAGATTTTGTCCATCTGAAACATGTCTACAAAATTAAAAACATTCGTATCTTTTCTCAAAATAATACTAGGACGTACTTTTCCCGCTGGAATTTGTGCACAATACATTCACTACGGAAGGAGGTTAACCATGTAAAAAATTCATGTCACGTCAGGGGTTTTCGTTGATCAGTGACTGGTCCTTTACAGCGAGGATACTATTTGAATAAAACAAAATATTTTGTACGTCTAGCAGTGGAAATCTTGAAAACTAGCGGCGAACTGTTAAAACAAAGCTTTTCATTCTTTGAGGACTTGACAGGGTGGCCTCGTGAAAAGAGTCTCTATCTCACTATGCCTTGGAACAGGAGAATAAGCAGCCGCCGAAAGCCAGGGGTATACCGTATAAACTGCCGCTTATAATTAGTACTACGGGGCTTATACATCTTGGTTAGGGGTCTTAGGAGAGCTTATAAACGCTTAATTTCCCAGGGGGCTTATACCTGGAATAGGAATAAGTGCTTGGAAACAAGCTATACAGGTGCTGATAAAAATACGTTTTTTGAATTTACTGTAATTTGTTATATAGGCACCGATGAAATACCAGGATTTTACCGGTGACGAAAATTTGGTATCCAGTGAAGATAATAAACAGAATATTAGATGCCCGCTTGTGGATACGAGTTTTATCTTCTCGTGTTCAACTCGATATCTCACTCGTTCGCTGCGCTCACTCCAGAGATATCGAGTTGAACACTCGCAGATAAAATTCCTATCCACGCGCGGGCGTGGATGATAGACGTGCAGATAGACGGGCCTTTAACTGGGAGGGGGGGGGTGTGACATGTATGAGCAGCAGTTTACGGCATTCCCTTTGTGGTGAGAGGAAACGGGTTTTAGCTTCTCTATCCCGAAGCTCTTGAAGAGAAATCAGTTCATGCAGCCGCCCTGGGCTGTAGAAGAAATTACTCTCTGAAATATAAGCGATTACCAGGAGATTACAATTTATGTTCTCTTTTAAGGAGCAATTAAGATGCACTTGTTCAAGAAAGCATTTGCTTGTTACAGCCAAAGCCTCTGTTAGCATGACTACTAGCAAATTTTAAATTTAGATTTAGATTTAATTTATATTTTAGGAAATTTTTACAGGTTTTTAGCTTTTAATTAATTTTAGACAGCATGTTATATAATTTGTATATATCGTTTATAGACATATATGTGTAAGCTTAAATATAGCTTATAGGTATTTAAGGCGCATTAGAGCATATTCACATACTAATTTGCGCCGGACAAGCATTTTTTTATTTTTATTATTAAAGTTACCAGTCGCTGTTCAAGAAATGAGCCCGCGCTCCTCCGAGCAAAAAGCATCACGCGAGAATTCATGTCTCTGGCTTTGTTGTTGTTTTGGCTGCTAAAGTTTCCCATTTTCGTTTTAAATTAAAAGAAATTAATGATTTTATTTCCAAAATTATATCTTATTGGGAGTCCATAACCTGGAGAGTGCACTGACCTCCAATAGGTAGTCCATGCAACATGGTTTTCAAAGATCAGTATACTTTTAGCATCAAATGAGAAAATATATTCCCGCGAAAATGGTAGCGCCGTCTGTGCGTGTGCTCATCAATAGTACATGGTGGCAAAAAAGAAACATTGGCCGGATGTTATAAAAACATCAGAATACTATTTTCTACTCTCTCGTTTTTGCTGCCTGATTAGTTAGACGAAATATTTGATGGTGAAAATTCGTAAATTGAACTGGTCTTTGAAAACGCTGTTGCATGGCCACAAAAGAATTGCTCGCTCCGGCTTATGGGCTCCTGATTTTACAGGTTGCGAGGTTGCGGGGCCTCTTTACCTGGATGCTGGCTCAGTTGTTGTGGCTTTTGCAGTTGTAGGTTCGGTGGTTGGCTTTTTTGTCACAGGCGTGGCGGTGGTTGATAAAGCCTCGGGAACTGCTTTGCAGGTGGACGGCTTGGAGTACCTGCTTGACTTTGTTTCGTCATACAGATCAGCCCAGGAAACAAGGTCACCTATTCCCTGGTTGCACGTTTTTGCGAAGGTTGCGATTTCTTGATTTGTGAGAACGCGGTCCCAAAGATTGACCTGGGTCATGCGCATTTTATTTGACGACAAAGCCTCTCCGTACTTAAACTTTCCAATTCTTCGTCCTATAAAGTCGTTATAAATGCCGTAGGCTTTCCTCTCTCCGTCAAAATATATAGACCAGACAGCTGTCTTACTTGACCATAAAATGCAGATTTGATGCCATAGTTTATCCTTTAATACATCGACGTTCAGCCTTAATTCAAACAAATTATGAGAAGGTTGAACGTTAATATAATGTACCAGAAACGTCCGTGCTATGAGATAACAAGAATAACAAAGTGAAGAACGCAAGTAAATGTAATCTCAAAATCGAGAAATCAAGTGAGCTTTTCTTATCCTTGCAATGTAAGAATCATGCCATTCTCCAAAACGTCAGTCTCTTCTGTTTTGCTCTGCAAAGTCATTTTTGGGAGCATAAGGTGCGCAATGCATTGGGAATAAATATGTAAAATGTTAGCTAGATGTGGAGAATTGTGACATTTGGCATGCACCTGACATCGACTATGCTAAGACCAACCGAACAAATGTGTCACATAAAGCATGACAATATCCCTACCAAACTATATATGGTAAATTTTAAATTTGGGGGCTCCAAAAGTTAAAGAAACTCAGTTGTTGATTACCTTTCATTTATGCCACCATGTACGTACAGGAAGTAAAGACTGTCACCTTCCCCAGTTAAGGAAGTGAGCATGTTCATTCCCTGCATCTCCAACCAAACCGGAAATGCCATGTGGTTATCTTTTTTCCATGTTCCTTCTGTAAGCTTTAGCCACATGCATGTGCTGAGTTCATCCCCGATCGAGATATCTCTCACCTCAATTGGAGTTCCAGTGCCTATTTCTACTTTCCCTTCATAAGATGCTAAAAAAGTTTTAAAAGGCCAGTTAATTATTTTTCTGCATATTGCAGGATTTAAACGTGTTTCAACTTTTAAGTAACACATTTAAGTCTGATCGAAAAGGCCTGATCATAGCTGGGATCATAGTTGGGCTGACTTTTAAAAAAAAATTGCGAGGCCTCAATTCTAAAACAACAGGACGAGAAGATCATAATAAAGTACTGAAGTGGAAACGCTTCATCTTAAAAACACACACTCAAAGCGAATTGCTGATTTGCAACTTAGGGGGAACTTCTTTGAAGAGATACACCAGCATCCTTCTAGCTCCCTCGGATAGCGTCACGTTTACATTTTGAATCTGCTGTAAGGTAATACACTTACGAACACATTCCCGTTTTTTGTTTATCATAGATGTTGCTGGGCATTCGTCAAGACATCTCGAGCTCCCTGCTGCCTTCACAACTCTACATGCGTTGCACTGTTCATCATCGTCCGGTGCTTTGCAGCCTAAACATTATTAAAAATATAAGGTCAAAGCAGGATCCTTTCGTCAAAGCTCTGAGAAAGGTGGGAAGTATGGGGGCGGGAAAAGCAAGAGAGATACTTAGATTAAAACACTTAAAAAATTAAAAAAATTCGTAATAAGGTTTATAAAGCCACAACAATAACAAGCCAATGGTAACCTTACGTAGGGGAATGAAATAAATGTGCTCGGGCTTTCGCGTGTTTTTGTTGACTTTAACAGAAATTTATTTCCAAAGAAGGAAATGATTATTTGCTTCCTCTGACTGGCTATTAATGTATTTCTACAGCTATAAGTGAGAAGGGGGGAGTGGGGTGGTTGGAGAATTGCGTTTCTGCCATCGGGGACATTTTCGGGGTTATTCTTAAGTCGTGAAAGGGAGGCGCATGACCCTTCTGCGCACTCTTACATGAAGGAACATTAATATGATTTTCCCTCCCTCCCCCTGCCTTTGGTTCTTATTAGGGACCTTAAGATCCTAGGACGGCGACGGCGGAGAAAACGTCGCTGAAAAAGTGAATTCGCGTTCTTTCAATCTTCATAGCGATTACTCCAAGTCACTAACCAAAATAGTTGTTTTGCTAATTAAACCTAATGATTTTGTGGCGTTCCCGTTGCCGTCGCCGTCGTCCCTATTTGTCCTAGTGGGACGGCGGATGTGCCCTCCATCACTTTTGCTTGGAGATAAAATTCTTGTGTATCTGGAATATTTCCAGTTTTTTAAATTGAATGAACGGCCGCTCCTGTGGCCTAATTCATCCCCAAATTAATTCGCCATCATTTGCATGGGTCCGAGCCAGCAGAGCTCACCCAAAGCGAGACTCTGCCAGCATCAATAATTGCTCTAATGCAATGTATGTAAAGGAACATGGCATAGGTAATTGCAATTTTGCGAAACAGGTGCCCAATGTGAAGTTTATGCGAATATAAAATCCCACCAACCTGCCACGGGATTGCAGGTTCTGTGACAATTCTTTGCACACAGATTTTCAATTTCGTCTTTCTTGGTATCCCCCTTGCACTGGATATCCGTTCGATTATGCGAGACCATGTGAGCGTCCATGATATTGACTAGCTCGTCCTTGTTTCCAAAAGCATAAAACCTTACATCAAAATTTCTGTTGTTGTCTATCATGTTAAGATAGACGTTTCCAGCGTCCCTGGTACCTTGGTTCTTGCCGTACTCGATCAACGTGTTTTTACCAGAAATGGTGATGCACACAAAGTAAGACTCGAAAATAACGCCTTCCCCAATGGCCACAGCATTTACATCGGTAATGGATGGTGAGTCAGACGCTGCCTCTTCACCCTACACCAGCATATAAAATGCTTGTAGCTTAAACTAACTATTGCTAACGAAAACTATTTTAACAAATAAATGATTATCGCAGTTTAAGGTACACAATAAGGAAAGCCCAAACACATAAGACTTGAAAGAGATTCGAACCCGGCCCATGACCTCTGCGATACCGGTGCAGTGCATCTAACCACTGAGCTTTCAAGCCAGCAGGGAGCGGGGTCGATACTTCGAATTCCGTGACATATCCGTAGAAGATTAAAATATAAATTAAAGTGAATTTATGAAATCTGCTACACTTAAACTGCGGAAGAAAAATTTAGCAAATGAAAGATCATCACAGTGAAACAGTTTCTAGAAAAATTGTTTCTCCCGCAGTTCGGTATACGAATTAAATATCATATACACTGTATTCACTTTGAATTCATACAATTAGCTTTGTTGCCTCCAGATAACCTCTTCCTTTCAACTTGAGCTAATGGCGTGCAGTAAAGACGTCACATGAGGGTCTTACAAGGAATATATTAGTAGTATAGTGGGGAAGAAATGAGCCCATGGCCACCATCTTTTAGCCGAATCAAAAATATGGAGGATTAATTTCAAAACCAAATGATTTCTTTAATTCAATACCTTTTGCTAACTCTTTCAAAAACAAAAAACACTTTTCAACATACCTTAAAGATGACAACCTTTTTTGTGGAAATTTCCACGACATAACGTGCTTGGAAGTTTTTTGGGGAAGCACTGAACACCACGTATATCGTTCCACTAGACGCTGCAGTAAAGTGAAGACATTGCCCTTGCGTGTCTTCCAAGTCTATACGGAGGACATTGGACCATTCGGCGTGGCAAGGTACCCCTATACTGGGTGCGGCGGAAGACCCGCTTCTCTTGCTAGCATGCTCGTCTCGGCTTACTGATTCCACCCGTGCTAATGGTATTCCAATCAAGTCAGTTGGCAATGTAGGAAACACTTTCTTTGATGATTTGTAATCTTCTTCATCAAGATATAAAAACCCTTTCTTTTCGTTGTAGGATAAATTCAATCCAAATATGGACATTTTACGTTTTCGGTGGTAATTTGTCGAACCACTGAAACCGCTATACAGGTGAAATGTGTTATTACCGTTACTTGTGTACCATTCACCATCCCTTAAGAAAATATAGATATGAAATACTTGTAAAGTTCTGTTTTGAAATTTTCCAATGGGCTTTACTTAGATGGCACCAAACTCTACAGATTTCTCCGTCCGTCAATCTCTCTTTCCTTCTAATCAATCATGTTTAATTTTTCAGTGACCTTTTTTCCTCCTTCTACACGTATCTTTTGAGTGACAATTAAATACAACATGGTGTTCACACTGGGGATAATAAGTAAAGAGGAGAGTGAAAACCTCATCAAGTTAAGCTAAGTAATTAATACACTCTAAGCTTTATCATATGGTTTGGTTCCGCGAGCGTTGAGATGATTCGAAACCTGTGTTCTGATGAGCTACAACCCAAGCGGGAACGATGGTCCTGTCTCGCCCTTTTGCAGGATTTCCCGCTTAAGCTCCTCAAGAAAAAAAGGTTCCCTCGGCCTTATTATGAATATTTTATATTGATCAAATTTGTTCAGTGAATATTGATCTCTTTTTTGCGTTCTTAAATGGCCTCGACTTGGTCTCGATCCATAACAAAACCAAAAAGAAAGAATTGAAATTGGCGAATATCCAGCTATCTCGATCAATAACTTGTATACGCTCTACATATTGCTGGTATCCATGGGGGCACTGCAGTATTTCAGTTTTTCCCCATGTCTGACTGAGTGATCATGAGTCATACGCGTGTGGAAAATATTTTTCTCAATACTCTTAGGCTTATTATTCTGGCTAAGGCTCGGTCTTTTTGCACCTTTCGCCCTCAAGATGAAATGGTGATGGAAAGTGACATTAGACCCGGTTCAGATGCCGAACTTTTCACAAGCCGAAAGTATGCATTGAATTAAGTACATGAAAGGTTAGGCGTCTGACTCAATTAGGAACACCTATTTCAATTTGGAACGGCTCATCCGTTTTTGCCGCCTAGCCAGGCCGAGAATTTCGGCTTTGGAGCGACTTTGGAACGGCTTTGATTCAGACGCCGAACTTTTCAAGCTGTTTACATGTCCCGAACCTAATGTATAAATTATTATTAAACGAATTTTGCAATCGATCAGTTTTACCGAACTGAACATTTTCCTCCTCTTGATTTTTGTTCAGCTGGAATTAAGATCGGTGTCTGATATCAATTCAGCCGATTGGGTCAGCCTTAATTCGAATTAGGTTCGGCTCATGAAGAGGTCGGCGTCTGAACTGGGCCTTAGACATTTTTTGTGGGTAAGAAGGCGCAGTTGTTGTTGTAGTACTTTTGAGACTTTAAAGTGTGCACAATAAATTAATGAAGTCAAAACGAGCTTTTCTAATGTTAAAGACGTACCTGTAGCGAACATTCCTCCTCATGTCCTTTGGAATACTGAAAGCAATATGCAGTGGGTTTGTTAGATCACTCAGCATGTCAAATGTTACTTGAAAAGTGGAGTCACCGCGGATAAGCTCTTTCCATTTGGGAACCACTACTTTATCATTCATCCATTTGTCTGCTGACTGTCCGGGTTGGGTAGTAGGTTTTGTCGTGGGATTGGTCACTGTATCAGGTGGACATTTTTCAAGACGGACATCCGATAGAGAAACGGGCCCCTAACCATTAATTCAACACAGAGACATTTTAGTTTTAGCGAATGATATACACTATGGGTTCACATCAACATCAACATTACCTCCTCCATGTAGATTTCAATGGCTCTCTTTAAACTTGTCCTCTTGTCCATAATTGCTGTCTCCAGGCTTTGTCGGCTGTCGTATTCGCAATAAACTTTCTTCTTCGTTCCTTTAATGGGAAAGGTGTAATAGAACTTACGCCCATCTTTGTCAGTCTCGATTTCTGCCGCTTTCCCCTCGCAGCCCCAGCTTACCTGGAGGAAAAAGTCCGCGATAAGATGGACCGCCCAAACTCGACTATGTTTTAGTTCCTCAGCCAGGAAGTAGGGAGGGAAGTCACACTAGATATATAACCTTGCTTTTGAAGACAAAAAAAATTAAGGTGTTATTCACAAGCCATAAGCAGCAAGAATTTTCACGTTCCGTGCAACCTGAAGTTGATCTTTTCTTTCTTTCAGTGGTCTGTCTCGACAACGTCATACTGGAGATATGAAAACAAAACCTAATTTTAACTTTTTGTCAAGCGAAACCCCTAACAGGACATCAACGTTATTCGGCGTTTCATAAGCTCGCTATGAATGATTAACTCTTAACTAATCAATCCAAAATCAAATGCTCACCTTCTCTTCTGGAAACAAATCACTGGCCCGGAAATTCACCAAGTCGGAAATTTTTCCCATCACAAATTTATACGCCTTTGGGTACTTAGGAATCGACTGCAGCCATTCTTTGAATTCTGTCTTAAATGTTGGTGAGTAAATGTCAGACAGAATGGACGCTATATCTTGACTTCCCCCTTTGGCTTCAACCTCTGTCGAAGTTGTTTTAGTCTGTTGTCTTACAGACACTCCTCCCTCATTTGTATACTTTGCACCAACACTCGCAAAAAGAGTCTTATATTCAAATTCCATTTTCTCGGAAAACTGGGTTTTAGATCCTGCCTCCTTAGCGTCCATTCTCTTACGTATTTCCAGTTCTCCGCCAAATCTCGCTGATTTAATATAATGGGTTCCCCATCTTTGAATAAAATTTTCTATTACAAAGCAAAAGAAGAAAGGCAGTTGTTTTACTTGTAGATATACTCAGCTTACTCAGTAAAACATGGTCACTTTAAAATTGAGCAATTTCAAGAGCCTAAGGCTAATGCTATAATCATGATTCTAGTTCGTGTCTAATATAACATATCAAAATAATTTTCAAGCAAAGAGACGAAATATTTCTAGTTTTAAAGACTAACTAGGTTACCGTGTCAAGGTTTTACACTGATTCGTTTCAAGAAAGTAAGTAATGAGAACGTCTACTTCAGGCCAGGCCGAATTATCAAAGGAACCAGAGAGTTCTTTTACTTTTCTCTTAAATATTTTTGCCGGTACTTACGGTATTTTGTTGGAGCTCTTGCATCGAAGTATGATCTTGGAAGTTTCATAAATTCTCGCAGAAATGCAACGCTTAAATCCTCTGGCTTAACTTCATCCATGAAAATTTCATACCTTGGTTAATGCAGCACAAGAATGGAAATGACTAACACTGATGATAATTATAATGTAGTACTAGTTAAAAATAGGTTCTTTTCTCTATTTTGACCATTAATTTTCATATAATACCATGAAAACTTCTTTTTCGATTTCGCACTTTAAAGTAGTCGGGCGTTCTAGTATCGAAATACCATCATCAACAAATGCGACATGGAAAAACACTTTTTGCATTTTAGACAGCAAACATATTAAATTTGTCGGGAAAAAAACAAAATTTAAAACAATTTCACTGTGCACAATTGCTAAGGAAGAAAGAGAGACCATTTTTATACGCATGCTCAACCAGAGGCAGCTCGTTTTTAAACCTTATCAAATGCTGAAGCATCCACTGATGTCATCATGTAAAATTTTAATTTTGTATAACTATTAGGAATCTCAATACGAAACAGAACGCTGGCGTTGGGACGGAGAATGATACCGTGGTAATTTTAAAGGGCTACAAGTGAACATATGGAGAATATATCGTTACGGAAACACAACCGAACGAGAGAGTTTAAATCAGACAAAACGTTCAATCGTTGGCTAAACGTTCAATTGCTGGTTATGGGTGTATCGAATAAGGACCATGCATTAAAAAGACGCGAAAGTTTAGGATACGTCAATACACGGCAGGGACTACCCCGCATAAACATAAACCAACAAGTGCGCATTAGTTACAATCTTACATCTGACAAAATTTCGATTCTTCCCCTTGCGTGAAGAACAGAATGACTTACGTTGTAAAAACGTCATGCTTTCACAGTCTAATAATTTGTAGATCAACATCATTTCGAACCCAGGCCGGACCAACACCTACAAACTATTAGACTTTCTAGTGGTCTAATCGGATAAGGACGAAAGCCGTAGGCCCCGTCTCAGAGCACTTACATTTATCTGGTTCTTGACGGACGTAAAAAAGACCACACCACTGTTCGAAAAGAGTAGGGGATGTAGACCCCGGTGTTGCGGTCAACCTTCACAAATCACATCATTCTCGTCGGGTGGGTACAGTAACCTCATAAATGGACTGAGAGCGGCTGACAGTGGTGCCCTTGTATGCTGACGTCTGAGCTTACTGTTCACATCTTAAAAATGTATTGTAAGAGGGCACGTCTGTTGTCCTCTCCTCCACGACTCTGCATTCATTCATTCATTCATTTTACTGCCATCAGTCTAACGGTCACTTACCTGTCTACATCAATATCCAAAACAGACATAAACTGCTGTCCAGCAGTCGAGGTTGAGCTTCCCCAGGCCTTTTTTGCTCCTGCATAAAACCCGAAGTAAGACCCAGATACACCAGCTTCTTTCTGCAAATATTGCTGAAATTCTGCGCGGCTCTCAAACGTGTGCATAGTAGCCGAGGTATCGTAAATTCCATGAACGTTCATGGTATCGGGCACATCGAAATCGTCATACCTAGAATTATTCATTCATATTAACATTTTCTTATAGTGTGCGGAGTGGCTGACATAAAGCCAACCCACTTTCACCCTATTTGACACTTTAAGAGCGTCAAAAATGAAATTATCTTTAAATTTATTTGATAGATGACTGTTTTTTGTAAGGATAGGGCAACTGACTTTGTCACTAAAAGGATTCGTCACTTCACATGCACTCTGATCCATTTTGGCTCCACATAATTGACATAAAAGTGTCAATTCAAATTTCATCTAATGAAATCAATTGATATGAATATTTGAAATACTCTGTTATTGATACTCACCGCACTTTTCCCAGGCAGGACCTAAGGAGTCATTTCGTGTATGAACTGTATTCAGACTTACGTTGCCTTGTTTTTACAGTTTCTCTGCACAATGCTCATTTTTCTTGACTCTGGACTGTAATCTCCGCGACCATCAAAGCCAACTCCTAGAAATGCTGCTCCGTCAATCATGTTCTGCAAGAAAATGTAAAACCTGAATTTTTGTGGATTTTAACTCTCCAAGTCCCCTTTCCTGGGTTTCTGGGTCATTCAGGGTGGATATGGCCGGATTGCTACTTGGGAATTTTTGTTTTTATAAAAGTGTATTTATTTATTAAAAATCTGACCGATGGTGGAAACCGGTGTGGATCTGCGCCTGCTTCGTCCTTCCACACATCATTCACCTATAAGGGTCACCTACCTGACAGACATTGGAAGTCCATTTCGCGTTATAGCAAGGATCACTGGCTGTATAATTTGTCCCCCAGCAGCCATTCATCATGACATATCCCACACCCGTATTGGGTGCATAAGTATATGGAACCTCTCCTTGCTCTTTTTCAGGTTTTTCTACTTCCGAAAGGGCCGTCTCCATGTGGTATCCAGAGGGTACAAACATGTCTGGTGTACTCCAGCCTTTGTCTGGCGTTATGTCCAATTTAATCTGGTAATAACGATGAAGAACGTTAATGGAGAGTCATCTTTATTCAGTCTCCTAAGTTTGCAGATGCACTTACGTTTTTGGCTAAAAAGTTTGAGGCTTTCTCCTGAGCTTCGTCGATGATCTTGAGCTGTTTGTCAACCAATTTGTTCATCACTTCCAATCCTTTGTCCACAACAGCTTCTTGAACCTTGGGGTTCTTTAAAACAGACGCTGCTAATGGCAGAGCCCTCTTTGACCCTTGAGTGCTTTGTTCTAAACAGATACAGGCAGATACGTAAGCCATTGTGACCAAACCAACCCCGTCCCCAAAACAAATATCCACAATATTGAACTAATCACACACTGATTACTGCTTTGCTCTGTGGCACGCTTTTTAAGCCCGGCACCAAAAATATTGAAGGAGGTTTAACTTATACGCTTATGCTCGACCTCTTAGGCATCTTCTCCTGATTTCATTTACTCACGTAAAATCTGCGTCAGTACGCACGTAAAAAATACGCGACAGGGAAAATCCACCTTTGTCTCGTTAGTTTCAGGATGCCTCTTTGACTCCTTAAGGTGAATGAACGCACAGTCAGGCGCAAGAGCAGGTAACCTTGAAAACGTTTTTGTTCGAAAACCCCTCTCTCAATTAGCTACCATGGGGATCCCGCAACACCTGAAAACAGTCATTTTAACGATGACTTCAAGTTGATTTTATTCAGGCTCAGTACCCTGTTTGGTTGTTTCTTGTAGAGTACTTTTCTTGGACTCATCCTTCAACCTTTCTTTTCCTCGCCAAGATGGATCCTCACTGAGTGTGTGTTTCTTAACTGATTTATGGAATTCTCTTAATTTCAGCTCATCATTTTCCCCTGGTCCTTTTTCCAGGGCTACACCTAGGTAACAAAACGACAAAGACAAAAACAAATAGGCGATTGAAAATTGAAATCAGAAGCTTCCTGAGCACTTGACAGGTGTGATTTCAGAACAAAACCACAACAGTGTGATTTGCACAGTCAGACTGGAAAGACGAAAATTATTTTCCCTAAGCCGCATTATCCAATACTCCGTTAAGTTACGTTTTGTTTCACTTTTGAAATTAAAAGCAACTACTTTTAATATAAAAAACATCGACGAGTCTTTTTAAACCACCACCACCTGAACTGGCCTAAAATGTCACTTTCATTGTCCACTTGTTCAAGCGACGATGACGCAGATCAAGATTAAGTTAACCTAACAACTCGGCATGTGCACTGTTATCAATTTAATAACCAGGATTAGATCAAACTTGGACTAGGAGCGTTTCTTTATGTCATTTCCGCGGGTCACTTTGATTTATTATTAAATAAATTAAGTTAATGCACGTAAAATATCTTTTTCTCTCGCCTCGCGCGTCTTAGGATATTGCGTCTTATATCGTTAGAAATATAGATTACATTTCTATATCTCTGTCTTGTCTCTGATGCAGACCAATGTGACTACTTACAACAATAAGCCATGCAAAAGATAGCGACGAACAGCGGATAAGTTCTTCGTTTCATTATTCTTCCTGAAAAAATAAACCTTCATTCATAAGTGAGTATTACAGACTGTGATAGACCAGTATATTGAAATTTGTATTTGGCCCAGTGGTGAGAGCACTCACCTCTCACAAATGTGGCCCGGGTTCAAATCCCAGCGTCGATTCCATATGTGGGCTGAGTTTATTGCTGGTTCAGTCTGCCTTGCTCCGAGAGGTTTTTCGCCGGGTACTCCGATTTTCCCCTCCAAAAAAACCCCGACATTTCCAAATTCCAGTTACACCAGTAATGGTAGTCAAGAGATTTTCAATATTTTTTTTGCAAACGGACGAATAACATTTATAAAATTTGAAGGTTGTTTCCTGAAAGGTCAAATACGTCCAAACGGTTTTAAAATTCCCAAATGTTGCATAGTTAAATGCTTGAATTTTACTGTTCCATTTGAAAAAAAAATTGAGAATCTTTTCTTTTCAGAAAGCGTTTTGATTGGACAATCTTCTTCCAAGAGGCCTGGTTTCAGTGCCCGTACTGTAAGTTACTGTTTATGGTTATTTAATTTATAATTTCCTATAAACGTAGCCAAAAACGAACTCTTTGAGAGGAAGTCATTATTACTACATTAACAGTTTGGTGAATTAGTCTTCAGGTTTAACTGGAATCCTTCTTCAAAATTTCAATTTGTGACAATACAAATCAGAGACCTAATTTACTTAGCCGGCCATAGTTAACATACACCTTAACCATTGCCTATCAACAACACACCATTGTTGGGAAAAATATTTATATTAGTGGATAATTTTAATATAACAGTGGAACGTCATTAATACAGTCATTGTACTACTCCATGAGTTAGAGGTTTATTAAAGTCTTTTAGATTCTAGGACCAGAACGACTACGAGTACGAGAATTAACTGTTTTTTTCGCGTATTCTAAGGTAATAGACACCCCGGATAGCTTCATTGTACATCTTTTTCACCCAAAAAAATAGCACTGTTATCTTGATTGAAGGAGGTTAATCTTTGTTCCAGTCGCAAAATAATAAAACCTATAAGACTTTATAACTTGTGTCCGCTAACACGACATTCTCGCTAAAACTCGTAGCAGAATGACGATGACTATAAAATCACATTTTCGCACCAAAATGACGCTTGTTTACGCGCACTTACTACTTAGTATTGAGAAAATCTCTTACTCGTAGTCGTACTCGTCTTAAGTCTCTAATAAAACCAAATGTCACGGCCCCCTTTATTGATCTATCCTATGACTGTCAGTAGTAGGTCAGATCATTTTTTAATGCAAATGTAAGGTTATATATGATTGATAGTTTATTAGATTGAAAAATATTGTATAACCAATGTAAAAAATACCTTAAACTTACCTTGCTCTCATAACCGGCTTTATAGCGGAATGGTCAAAGTCTTGTGAAATATTACTGCCAAGCTCGGTTAGTTAAGTTATTAA